AACTATTTTAACATCTGATGTTTCATTTTTTGAAAATTGTATAAATCTTAATAAACGAACTCGAGTACTAAAATTTTCTGTATTTGGATCTTTCCAATATCCAAAGAAATAACTCCATATATTTCTAAATTGTTTTTCTAATGAAAGAAGTTTAACTAATGAACTCCATTGATTAATCATTGTTTTATATGCAACATCAAATACAGTTTCATTTTTTATTGCTTTAATATTATCTCCAATAATTTTTAATCTTCCTACCATTTTATCTGCTAATTTCTCTGTTAATTGATCCATCCATCCACAATATAAATAAAATGTTATCATCACATCTGCAATGAAAATATTTGCTACAATTGTTTCATATGTTAATTCTTCTTGATTACTTGATGTTATTTTTACTACTTCTCCTAACATATTTGCAGACTTAGATCGAATAAATACAATTATACGTCTTAATGCACTTGCATAATTCTCATCTTCATGAAGTGAAAAAACATCTGACTCTTTTGGATTATTTTGAATGGCAACTCCTCTTTGTGCTGCATTTAATACTAACTGATGTAATTCTGTCAGTTCTACTGAAAAAATTTCTGTTTGTTTCAAATCAATAACATCCATTTCTGTTATTCATAGTTTTCTCTTTTGTTTTCTTTTCTATTTCTTTCTAACTAATTATAACTCTTTTTATTATTTCTTTATTCTTTCCTTATTCTTTTTTTACCTAACTTGAAATACAATCCCTTTTTTTTCTTTTTTTCCTTTTTTGTTTTTAATCACTTCATCTCATTAACTCTGTTGAAACAATAAAAAGTAATTAAATAAGTATAAAAAGAAATATTTGGTATTTGTTAAAGGATAGAAGGAAATAGGAGTGATAAAAGAGTATTTAAAATAAAGATTATGGAGTGTGGTTGGTTTTGATAGGATGAGTGTTGTATGAGAAATATATGGATTAAGACAAATGTAATGAAATCTTGATGAAAGTAATTTTAGGATTAATTAATATAAATTCAGGGAATTATGAAATTACTTACAAGAAAATGAATGAAGAAAAATTGATGTTTAATTTATTATTTATTATTTTTGTATAATTTTTATTTCTTTTCTTCAAAACATTTTATTATATTTAATTAATTATTTTATTTCATTTCTTTTATTATTCTTTTTTTTATTTTCATTTTTATTTTTTATTTATTATCATTTCTTGTTTATTTAATTCATTTCTTCTTATTTTTCATTATTTTTCATTATTTTTCATTATTTTTTTGTTGAAGTTTTAATATTTTATTCAATATTAATATTAATAACATGTGTATTTATTATCAATTTTATTCTTTTCTCTATTTCTTTGATAAATTTTTGTAGTGTATTGATTGATATTATTTCATAATGATATTCTT